AACTCACTGCCTCGGGACAACTCGCTGAGACTTCTGTCTATGGTATCTCAACAGTGGCTCCTGCTGATTCATTGTTTTCTCCAGCTTATGAGAACCTTCTTCGCAAATACATTAGCATCACTGCACCACCACCGATTCCAACAGCTGATACATACAATCCTGTCGCACACCACATCGTCACAACAGGTCCACTAGTTATTGAGCGCCCCAGACGGCTCACTGGTGAAAAGCTGCAGGCAGCCAAGGAGGAGTTCCATCTCCTGCTCCAGTTCAACGTCATCCAGCCATCTTCCAGCCAATGGACCAGCCCCTTGCATATGGTCCGCAAGAAAAATGGAGGTTGGCGTTCAACGGGTGATTACAGGAGGCTGAACAAGCAGACCATTCCAGACCGATACCCAGTGCCGTTCATCCAAAATGTTCTCCAGCACTGTGACGGCTGCAGTGTCTTTTCGACCATCGATCTGGTTAGAGCTTATCACCAGATACCGGTAGCCATGGAAGACATTCCCAAAACTGCTGTAGCAACACCATTTGGGCTCTTCGAGTTTTGTGGTATGCCACCTGGCCTGTGCAATGCCACGCTGACCTTCCAACGCCATCTGGATAATCTGCTGAGGGGAGTGGATTTTGCAGCCTGCTTCATAGTTGACATCATCATATTCTCCAGGAACGAGCAAGAACACCAGCAACATGTCGAGGCGGTTTTCAAAATCCTCCAGGAAAGCCACCTGTCCATCAACCCGAGCAAATGCAGTTTTGGCAAAGAGGAGGTGATTTTTCTGGGGTACCTGGTGAACAAGCATGGGTTTACTCCACCTCCAGACCGAGTGAAGGCCATCCAGGACTACCCCAAGCCTCAGACCGTCTCTGACTTCAGACGATTCCTGGACATGGCGAACTACTATCGCCGCTGCATTCCTCAGGCTGCTCGGATCCAAGCGCCGCTCAACGGCCTTACAAAAGGTGCCAAGAAGAAGGACAAGACGATCATCACCTGGATACCTCTGCATGAGGAAGCACTGGACAAGACCAAGGAGAGCATCATCGCTGCAGTTCAAGCTGCCTTCTTGTCTCCAACTGCACCACTCGCACTTGTCACAGACGCCTCTGATTCAGCCATCGGTGCAGCCCTCGAGCAACTGGAGGATGGAGTCTGGAAACCTCTAGGCTTCTTTTCACGCAAGTTGTCTTCTACCGAAACTAAATACAGTACGTATGACAGGGAGCTTCTTGCCATTTTTGCCAGTATCAAATTTTTTCGACAGGTCCTCGAGGGTCGTCCCTTCGTCATCAAGACTGATCACCGACCACTCGTCTACGCCTTCTCGCAACGCTCTGACAAAGCCTCGCCTCGCCAACTCAACCAGCTCGACTTCATCTCCTAGTTCTCAACCAGCATCATCCACGTCTCAGGGGAAGACAACGTCGTTGCAGACGCACTCTCTCGTATCTGCCAGATCTCTATGTCTACAGTTCTGGACTCAGATACAATCCGGCTTGCCCAAGAGAGTGATGGCGAGCTGCAAGAGCTTCTTCAGGAGAGCTCTCTCAAATTGGAGCGACTCACAATCGACGGCAACCAACTTATCTGCGATATCTCCACTGGGTATGTCCGTCCCTTCATTCCGCAGAGCCTGCGCAGACGTGCCTTCGATCTAGTTCACGGTCTTGCTCATCCAAGCGGTCGTGTGACCTCGCGACAGCTGAAGGAGAAGTTCATCTGGCCAGGAATCAGGCGGGATGCCCTCCGCTGGAGTAGGGAGTGCATCGCATGCCAGAAGTCAAAAATCCAGCGACACAGCCGAGTCATTCTCAACCACATTGGAGTGCCTGATAACCGTTTCGACCACGTTCACTTGGACCTAATTGAGCTGCCGCCAGTAAACAGTTTCCGCTACTGCCTCACGATGATCGATCGTTTCTCCCGCTGGCCAATAGCTGTTCCCCTAACCAACATGGAAGCTGACGCAGTTGCCACTGCATTTTTCGGGCACTGGATTGCTCAATTTGGGACTCCTCTAACCATCACCACCGACCAGGGGAGCCAATTCGAATCTCGTCTGTTCACTGCACTAGCCAACATGGTGGGAGCTCACAAGATCCACACCACCCCCGATCACCCGCAATCAAACGGGATGATTGAAAGGTGGCACCGGACACTCAAGGCTGCACTCATGTGCAATGCACCCACGCCATGGACAAACTTACTTCCCTCAGTGCTCCTGGGTGCCCGCAACTCCTTCAAGGAGGATCTAGATGCCTCGCCTGCTCAGCTGCTTTTTGGCACGGAACTTCGAATACCCGGAGAGTTTTTCAGCACCTCCACTCTTGCGGCTGAGCCTACCTTCTTCCTGGAAAGATTTCGCGAGCACATGAGGAAAGTGCGACCATCTCCAACAGCTCATCAGACGAAGTCTCGACTCTTCGTACTCAAAGATCTCTACACCTGCACCCATGTCTTCCTGTGGGTAGACGCTGTCCGTCGTCCACTTGAACACCCATACGCAGGACCGTACCAGGTGATCAAGCGCGTGGACGACAGAGTTTTCATCATCCTCATCAACGGCACTGAGAAAGCCGTATCAGTGGAACGTCTGAAGCCTGCCTTCATTGCCAGAGACGACTCTGCGCCTTCAAACCCGCAACAGGTGCCAGAGTTGACCCATGTACCTGAAGAGCATAGGTCCACCACAATGGATCCACCCCTGAGGACTTATGCCAGACCTAAAAAGACTGTCTCATTCCCTGACTGCCGCAGTCAGGTCACTGGGGGGGGGGGGGATATGGCGGCTCGACAGTCGGCAACGCCGACGCCTGCTACGACTGAAGCGCACAAGCGCCAACGGAGAAAACAACTACTCATGTCTCGACTGGCCGACTAAAGCGCACATCGAGAAGCACGAACCAAAAAAACTTCTACGCCACGAAAACTTCTAACTGTTAAATTATAATTGTTCCAGTGTTCCAAATAATAAATATATTGTTCTATCGAAGCCTGGAATATATCTTTCTATGGTAGACCCATCAGAACTACCATAAATTCGGTTCCACGGGGAATCGAACTCACAACCTTTCGCACACTAGACTTGCGTCTAGCCCAGTCGACCATCGGCGTCGGTTATAGAGATGATTAAGAGCTACAAAAAAAGTCACTACAAAAATTTCGCTATATCCCTTAAAGTCGGAGATATTCCTCGAAAACTCAAATGAGACCTAAGTCGACTATAATCGTTTTCCCGCTTCACGAGTTATTTTGCCCCACAGTAACTATCCTATAGAAGTATGATATACAATACTAGTCGAGTCATAATAATCAATTAACAGACCTGTAGAGACACTCATGGAAAGATCTCTAGTGAAAAACGCGAAAATTCATTGTTTTAATTTTTTTTAAATATGTTGCAGGTGGAATTTCAGAATTTTTTTATTTCAAAATAGAAGGAATTGAAGTCAGAATTACATCAATTTTTGTTAAAGTGGTAGAAAAATCTGTACCTATGAGAATTATTTTTTTTAAAGAAAGAAGCGTCGATTAAAAATATTATTCAGCAATAAAAAAATATAATAGAAATTTTTCCCTTCAATCGTGAGATATTTTTGATTTCTCAGATTTTTTTTAGATTTTTAAATAGCTTTCAAGTACACAAAAATAATGAAATGGAAAAAAATTTTTTTTGGCCATGAAAATTCAGGGAATCAATATAATGATCTGCAATTTTGTACAGAATAATTTTTTTAGGAGATGAATATGTGAAAAAATTGCCGCATTGAAATTCGCTTGGGGCAGATTCGCCATGATTATCCAGCTAAACCCTTTTCTATACGGATTGCGTATTGAATTTCTATAGGATTTTCATATATGATATTCGGATATTTCTATATGGATATTTTTTATACAAATTATTTCTATACGATTTCTATAGGTTTGATCCTATACGACCCTCTGCCACATGTATAGAAACATTTCGTATGGAGTTGCGACATTTCTCTACGTTTTTCTCTGGAGTGTTTAGACATCCTTCGTATGAAGACAAAAATTTATGTAAAAATTTATGTATAGAAATAACTCGTATAGAAAATATTCGTATAGAAATATCCGAATATCATACACGGCAATCCTACAGAATTTCTATACGCAATCCATATAGAAAATTTTGATATCATTTTTTCATACGTATAAAAGCAAATTTATTAATTAAAATTCTCATTACTAGATCTTTTAGACTCTTCCAGGGTTGGGTTGTTCACTGAAAATCGGGTTTTTTTGCAATCTTTCTCTCTGTACATCGTAGGATACTGATAATTCACCTTTGAATGTTAAAAAAAAAAAAATAACTGCGAGAAAAACCCTCAACACGACGGTCAGTGCAGTAACTTTTGTGACTTAATTTCACGAGGGTTATACCTCGTGAGTGTAAAATATTAGCAGGGTCATATCTCGTGAAGGTCTAATGTCTCACGAGTCACATCTCGTAAGGGATTTACATCACGAGGGTCAATATCGTACTTCACAAGGCCCACGTTGCATGATTCCTACTTCTCCCAGTTGATCCTCATAATCGTTGGAACCTTGCAATAGTTTTTTTTGGCCTGCCCGGTTGACGTTTGTTGTCATTTGGCCCTTGAGATTGTCCTGTCTATCTGTGTCGTTTGACCATTGCGACGTTTGGCCCTCGCGCGGTATGACCCTTGCGATGTTTAATCCTCGCGAAATATGATCACTGCGTAGTATGACCCTTGCGAGGCATGACCTTAACTAGACTTGCATATGTCACGGAAGCTCGACGCCCCTGTCGAAGGCGTTGTTCTCGCCCCAGAACATTCTACATGTAGAAAACTTAGTAACATAGCAGTGGTATTTTACTTACCCGCCCCCGGATCCTTCAAACTAAGATATTGAATTCCCTCAAATTTTCATAGGCCTTGAAATAATGTTATTCAAAATATTATGAAACGTGAAACATTGTAATGGTCTTACTATTGGAATTTTTCCCTAGAGGTGCTGCTGAGTGGGTTAGAGTTGGAGACTTGGATTTAAAACAGAATGATGACGATGCAAAACCTCAGCAGCGAAAAGTAATTGAGAGAATTCGACATCCGAGTTATAAAGCTTCATCACATTATCATGATATTGCGCTATTACGTATGGAAAGCCCAGTAACTTTCGATGCCTGGGTGAGACCTGCCTGTTTACCGACTGTAAGCAGCGAACAATTGCCTGAAAAAGCGATTGCGACTGGCTGGGGAAAAGTCAATTGGAGTAAGAAGTCTTCACTCATGATTCAATTTGTTTCAATTTCAAACTTAATCACTGAAAAAAAAACTATCCTCGAATCAGGTATATAATATTCCGGAACTCGGGATATTTTATTTTTGTTTCCAGAATCATACACTGATAGGCAGTAACACGGTGCAATTCAAAACAAAGATATGTAGCGTCGTTCACGCTCTCCTCCCCCCTCAAAATAAGCGCTACCCCGAGACCACGTGTAGTCCATACGCTAGGGGTACTTCTGTGTACATTGAGATGTCCATTAGATTTTATTACTGGATTCTATGTTTTCGAGGTCGCTGATTGCGAATATGATGATCGTTTGTGCGAAATCGTGGGCAGTCTCTTTGTTTATAACAATTTAATTGTTTAAAACGGAATATCGCGGACACGGTTGGCTATAGCGGAAAATGTTTCAAGCAAACAATGTTCCTTATCAAAAAGTGGACATATTTAGTTTGTTTGGTGAGGAACTAGTTTAGGGTGGATGTGGGATGAAAATGTGGAGGGAGATGTTGGGAAAATTATTTAGGTGTTTTAGAAAATTATCACTATATTTGGCGTGGGATCGAACCACTTATCACAATTTCGGTACACTCTTTGGTTTCAATTATTGTTGAATGTCTAATTTTCACTGATATTGTCTTTTTGCACCTTATCTCGTTGAGTCACTGAAATCTCTGAACTGAATCAATAAGTTGATGTACTGAACAAAATTATTAAATTTATAATACTGTTTGACTGAATACGCTAGCTCATTATCGTAACGATACTTCTATACTACTACTGACTGACTCTTCCGGGTGCCGCGCTGACCTGTGTCCGTTGACCCGAAAGTTCACGGAGATTTTCGGAGATGGCCGAGTTAGTCGACCGTAACCATTTTGGAGATTTAGGCTGTATTTCGAACACCCCGGGGGCAATTCATCATCAGGGATGATGAATTAATGGTGATTTTAGTCCTGTTGATCTTCTGCATCATCGTCTGGAGGTTGCTCTGGAGGTGGTGGATCTGATGGCAGTAGGCAAAGCTTGGTGATTGGTCTGTCAAGCTCTGTGTAGATTGTTCTGATGTTTTCTATGATTGGTGATCCATCTGCCTGCCTTGGTACCTCTGCCTTTGCGGTTCTTATAGTTGCGACTCTCGTTAGCCCATCTGCTCCTGGGCGTGTCGCAATGACTCGTCCGATTGGCCATTGTGCTGGTGGATAGTTTTCGTCGATCATCAGCACCATGTCGCCAACCTTGATGTTCTCTTCTCGATGCGTCCACTTGTAGATTGCCTGATATCGTTGAAGACACTCTTTGGCCCACCTGGACCAGAATTGTTGAGTTAGCTGCGTTACCAGG